TCAGTGTCACCGAGCAGAGGACCTCCCAGATCGTAACGCACCAGCAGCAGACTGTCGTGACGGGTAAACCAGGCCGTGCAGCATGAGGACACTAAACCAGCGTGACGGTGTGATTAACATGCTTTGTGTGTTCAAAGTTTAAGGCATTGTGTGGAAGAAGCATTCACTTTGGTTTGACACTTTTATTTACATGACGTGATTTTCTTTGAAGTGCTTTTATTTGAAGCTCTGAGCTGTTTGCAGTTCACTTGCTGTCAGGTTGGCATATTTTAATATTCACAGGGTTTTATTTCCATGCTTGTGATGTGTGAAACATATTGAACTAATAATTCTCATGCCTGGGTGGTGGTGCAGAGGAGGGCTTTAAATGTCTCCAGCGAGAAGAAAAACTATTTAATTTATTTTTATACTTCACTGGAAGATTCACCTTTTGTTCCCTGCTCATACTGTGAATTGATCAAATAAGTAACTTTTTAAAACATTAAATTAACTTCATTTTCAAAGATTTTTTTTATTAATTATGAGTCAACTCTCAGAACTTGAAACACAAGCCATTTTTAGACAATGAATTGCAATAACAATGCTGATACTAATTAGAGTAGAGTACAATTTCGTAGAAGCATCCTGACTGTCATGATACACTTAATTGCTTGTTTGCTGTCAACCCTAATAACAATTGGGAATAAAATGTTAAAACGTTATGTGAGTCACCTTATAATATTTGAACCTTCCTGGAACAAGCTCTCTAAATGTGATGGTAATCCTTGGAAACGTAGTTTGGAAAATGTACTTAAACCGCAGTGAATATTAACCATTTATTTACTGGGTTTGCTTTTAAGACTCGCAACATGCATGTTATGATCCCCAAAGTGTTCAAAAACCTATTTATTTATTTGACTAACCTAAAACTATTGTATTAGTTTTCTTCCCTTAATTATATTCTGAGTTCCTAAGCCAAAACGCTGTTGGTAGCAATACATTGGAATTCATTAATTATAAATGAACCAGGTGACAATTTTTTAATTTCGTACCAAATTAAATGGTTGTTACCAGGAAATTAACAGGAAATGATGACCCTGTTAATTAAAGCTTTGCCTCATGTCTTTGCAGAAAATTCGAGTTCCAGAGTCCGAACTGTGCAGGGTGTGTCGGAAGAGGGTGTACCCGATGGAGTCGCTGATCGCAGACAAACACAACTTCCATAAGAGCTGCTTTCGCTGCGAGCACTGCAGAGGCAAACTAAGGTGGAGATAACTCACAGAGCACCACATTATTCTGCTTTTTTTTTGTTGCATTTTTTAACCTATTTTTCCCCTCTACAGCCTTGGAAACTATGCCTCTCTCCATGGACGAATGTACTGCAAGCCACACTTCACGCAACTGTTTAAATCCAAGGGGAATTACGACGAGGGATTTGGACAAAAACCACACAAAGAACTATGGAGTAATAAGGAGAATTCACCCGGAAAGACAAGCGTCAGATCACCACCACCCGGAAAGACAAGCGTCAGATCACCATCACCCGAAAAGACAAGCGTCAGATCACCATCACCCGAAAAGACAAGCGTCAGATCACCATCACCCGAAAAGACAAGCCTCAGATCACCATCACCCGAAAAGACAAGCCTCAGATCACCATCACCCGAAAAGAAAATCATGGATTCCAAATCTCCCGCTGCTCAGACCCCGCTAGTTACTGAGGATGAGGAAACGAGAAAATCAGAAGATGAAAACAAAAAGCTCACCACTAAGATGTCTGTCGTGTGGCCCCCTCAATCTGATCACAGCAAGAAATCCTTCACTATAGAGGAGGAGTTGAAGCTGGTTAAGCCGTCATGGCCCCCTAAGGAGGGCTCCGCTCAGGAAAATGAACTCCTCAATCAGCCGCTGAGGCCTTCATTAAAGGAGAGCGATGTCTCCGCAGCTGAAGCACAAAATGGACCCCAGGAAAAAGACAAGCGAGCAACAGAGAACGTGAAAAAGCCTGAAGAGACTCCAGCACAGTCAGGGGCCTCGTCCTCCCCCGCAGCAGTTGCAGAGAAACCGGCAAATGTTTCTCACCCTCGAGAAAGGAAAGAGTCAAACAGCGGCTCGGAGGTACAAGAGCGTTCTGAAATGGACTCTGAAGTGCACCCTGGAGTGGAAGAGAAGAAAGAGAGGGCAGGGGATGGTGGTGGAGCTGTGGTGGAGGAAGGGAAAGTAAACGGTCACGATGGGCAGAAAGAAAGTGCAGCAGGTGGGGAGGAAAGTCAGGCGGAGATAGATAAAGGAAGTAATGGCGGTTTGAACAATGGGGAAGCGGTAAAGGTCACCTTAATAGATGAGGAGGCAAGACAGGCGCTGAATGCAAACTCCAACAATAACAATAATTGCGGCCTGGAGCAAGGAAACCTGTTTGAAGGGCTTAGTGAGCACGAGGAGGGAGGGAAGAATCTCTTTTCAACAGATTTCTTCCAAACAGATGAAGAAATGAAATGGTTGCCAAGCGAAGTGCTGCAGTTGGCACAGAGCGAGGATGCTTTTGTGCCAGCCGGTGCCAAATGTAGTGAAGCCACAGAGCGCCCTTCTGACACGCATTTCTTCACAGGCGAGGGAACGCTCCAAAACGAGGCCACGGAGCTGCAGATTAGCACATCGAGCTTCCTGGAGGACATCTTCGCCGGGCTGAGCAGCAGCAGCTCTGACCTGCTATCTGATTTCAGAGGCGGTCAATCTGCCGCCGGGACGCATCGGGCGTCTGCGCTCGATGACCTTTTGGATTTGGGGATGGAGGTAAAAGAAGATCAAACGGGGCGGGAGGATGAGGCTCCTCTGTGGGGCGAAGACGACGACGGGCTGACGGTGGAGGAGCGCATCAAGAGGAACAGATTCTACGACGACGACGACGACAGCGACAACTCTTAAACTTCTAATCTAATGATCAAACATGTAGTTTCACTTATGTCCATGGAGAGATGAACTGCTCTGATTGTGTTTTTGTACTGAGTTTTAATATCTTTGACCTTTACTTAGCTTTGATTGCACCTGGTGTGCAGAGAAATGGTTACTTAGTATATTTTTCTTGACTGATTTTCAATATGTGCGTTAATAACTTTTCTCTGAATGAATGCTTTTCAGGATAAAGACTTTTCATTCTTTTTTTTTCATTTCTATCTTGTGGTTGAAATAAAGCTTCATGAACTCAATGATACAAATGAGTTTTTCATCAGTGAGTGGTACTTAGCTGTTTCCTCTCTGTGTGGCTTTCTGCTTTGATGTATGGCCTACCTACGTAACACAGTCCAGCTGAGATCTCTTCGGCGAAAGGCGTATTGATTTCCACTGATAGAGCAGGCCTGTTGTTGGAGTTACAGATTTTTCTATTAGGTGGCTTTTGTCACCTCTGACAGATGTTCCCCCCCCCTCTCCGGTTGCAGCCTGAACACATGGGGTAATTGGCTACAAACACAATATACTGCGATGTTAATTACACCAGCAGAAAAAAACGACTTTAATGTCAGAAAAGTGAATTCAGCGCGGGTCACATTGTGCTGACGGCTCCTTTAACTTGGGGAAGCACTGTTACCGGTTCAATAATTCAGCATCCTCTCCTCAGATGCTATTTGGCATCTTTTTAATTGGGTTATTTGTCCCCGGTAACGTTTTCATTGACGATCCAAAGTAGATGCAGTTTTGTACATTTTTTTTTATCGTTTTGTTCCTCTGCCAAACAATTCTAAACCCAGATAGGAGAGGAGACAATAATACAACTGTCCACGATACCAATGTTCAATTTCTTCATATACTGTATCAATGCTCTGATGTCATCGAGGTGTACAGGGAACCACTGGAACCGAGTGTAGGTGCAGTACAGTTGCTTATAATCCAAAAAATGCGCAACAGCTCAGCTAAGAGTCCAGAGGAAATCTAATATAACGTTGAGGAGAACCGGGTTTACAGATTTTCCTAATTTTGCGTTAGATAAATTCCGCTACTGTAACTAAGTCCCTTTAACATTTTGTGTACGACGAATGAACTCCAGAGCCCGATGAATAAGGTATCATTTTCTGTAAGCAAGGATAATAGGAATGTATGCAGTATATATGCTTACACTGACTATGGGCGTGGAAAGAACTATATAAAAAATAAAAGATGTGACACAGCAGTCATGTAATTATTTCTGGTAAGACGCCAGGGGTTGAAATTGTGTCACAGGCAGTCCGATCCATCCATCCTTGAGCTTCAGTTTTGAAGTGAATCTGTCTGTGTGCTGACCCTTATTGAAATGGAGTTGCTGTACATTTCATTCAGAAATAAAGCGAATCCACTGGGTCTTCACAGCCTCAGAAGATTGGACTGCATACATATTTCTATTGGATCTTGCAGCCAACAACAGAACAAGTAGCATGTTATTCTCCATAATTAGTGCCTTTTGCATAATATATCACCTTAAACCTCTGCAAAGTAGCCTCATATGGTCCAGTGTTCAGAAATATCTTCGTTGGAATTCAGCTCAAATGTAGCTTCAATAACACTTCAATGCTAGGAATAATACATAATATAGCTTGACATGATATTTCTTGCTATTTCCAAATGAACTCTGGGGGATTTCTCCAATAAAGTAATTCAATTATAAAAAATACAAAAAGATAAATGAATGATCAATAACGTATAAACCGTAACATGAGATGAGCTTTAGCAAAGTGAACCTTCCTTTTAAATAATGTTCAATTAGGTAAGGATGTAACGAGCTAGAAACCAGTCAAATCAATCATCCAGCTCCCCTGCAGCAATTTCACCGAGCCGTGGGCTTATTTTCGCCCAGATGCCATCAGATCATCCAGGCATGACAAGCGGTCGCTTCGTTGCCTGAAAGTCAATCTCGGTTAAACAAAGAAGCATCATGGTCCTCTCTCTCCCGGCCGGCTCTGATTGGCTGCCGTCCCTCCCAATCAGGCGGCCGCTGATTGGACGGCTGCTCTCCTCCCGCCGGCCGCAGACACACTGAGCAGACGAGGGATCGGCACGGTACGGAGCGGACCTTTTCCCCGCCGCTGGGACAAGTTGGAACCACGGGACACGGAGAACAGCGCCGGTAAATGTCGATAAATGCAGAAAATGTGGCGTTAACGGTAGTTGGAGGGCATTAGGCACGCGCCAGTCGCTCTCGCGCAACTTGACGGATGCAGTTTTCGGAAGTGAAATTAGCTGCTGTTTGTTTTATGAATGCTCTCTTTCCCCCTGTTAATTTGTCCTCACCGTTACTGTGGCTTGTTTAAAAAAGGGTTGACAGAAGTGCCTGTGCTAGCAGTTATGTTTTTAAATAGCTTTTGAAGGTTAACTTTAACATTTTGGACTCGAGCGTTGTGTGGAGCTGCTACCTGCTGTGTGAGGTGACACTGCTCAACAGCCTGGAATCATTCCTAGACTTAATCTGCGTTTTCTAGTGCATGCCATCATTTAAATCCAAAGTTGGCTCCATTTATTGGCAAATATCTGTGTGTGTGCGATAACAAGAGGCTGAGCCAGATACATTCAGATAAGTACATGAGAGCATTGTGCATTTCATAATGCTGTCCACTTTATAGCCTAATGTTAAGTATGATGATTTATCTGGCTGCTAATCCATGTCACTTAACACGAGCCAGTAAAATCCATCAGTTTCATTGCATAAAGGGCTGCGTGTCACCATGCTGAGTTTTATCACTCCATCACATTCTGCTGCTCTGTGAAAGGGACCGTACAAATGGAGAGTGGGATACACACTAACCCTCTGTGGCAGGCTGCTCAATGGGATTTTACCTTGCAGTCGGGGGTCATGACAACAATTCACAGCGAGCGCCTCTCCTAGCTGAGAACAGTATGCCTAAGCCTCGAAAAATCCATTCCTTAAGATTTATTTTGACAGTTAGCTTGAGACCTGAATGCCACAGATCTCTCCAGATCTGATCCTCTTATTGGAATCACACTGCTCCTTGAAGTGATCATCACATCAATACCCCTTCGCACTCTTTCTTGTCCGGGAGTAATTGCAGGCTCTTTTGTGAGCACCATGGCTTTCAACCTTACACCGCCGCCATGAGTCGTTAATTCCTGCAGCCCTGCCAAATTCTCTCATTTAAGCCTGTGTGCTGGCGCATGACCAGATACTGATATTGTGGGGGGAGAAAAAAAATGTCCATTTAATCTCAGAAATGTCCCAGAGTCATTCATCTGCTGTGACAGCAAATAGTGTAGCTTACATTGGAGGTCTAGTTTGGTGAAATGAAGGTTGCTTGTATTTTTTAGCTTAAAACCTTAATTTCAATGTTTCTCTTCTGTTTGATACAGCCGAATCTGGATAGAAGTCATTTGTTTTTCCACTAAAGCTCATGATTTAGTAGCTTCTCCAGAATCAAGGTTTAGTTGCAGCTGATCAGTTCCCCATCATGCCACGGCTGTGTCTTTAAAACAAGGATAACGATTGTGGTCCAATAAGAACCCCCCTTTGGCGCCTCCTAAAATCAATGACTCTCACTCTTTTAGTTGGAGCCATCGCAGTCGTAAATCACTGAAACACTTATCCCACTCCTTGTATTAATAAATCGACTATTTGCGAGTACTGTGTTGTGAACTGCAGCTTATTGACATCCCGTGAGCGGAAGCAAGCCCCCGGGCGTGCACCTAACAGGCTGCTTTGAACTCATTTGACCCCATGTGGGGCTTCAATATTTGAAGGCATCCTTCCTGTCACAGTTATCGGGGGACTGTGACACATGGGATTGATTTTTCCAAATGTTCCACGTTAGATCAATTGATGCCATTCTCACTTGTGGTGCCAGATAGGAAATAGCAGATTCTTTTTGGCTGAAATGATCGTGGAGAAGCACTCAGGCGTGACCAGAATCTGTTAATCACACCATTTCTGTCCTGGAAGTGATAGGAACTCGATTTATGGCGCTCCGAGATGAGATAAAGAGTACGTGACAGTGATGAATGACGTTTGTAAAGAGCGAAATGGAAAAAGTGTATTACAAACCAGCTTATTGACTCGTTCCAAATTGCAATGCTATCACGCTTTTGTTGCTGCTCTCCTTGTCAACACAATTTAAAAGGAACATGTTGGGTTTGTTTGTAACGGTGAGCTGTGGCATTCAGGTGCCCGCGGGGAGCATTCGCTGTTTAGTCAGAATCTCATTTGGAAACGGCTGCTTTATTAAGACCTTTTAGTCTGTGTTGGATTGAGCTTTTGTTCCCTCCGTCTACACCATTTCTTTAATTAGCCCTGCCATTCATCATCAGGATTTAGTGTCAGTCACTCAAAGTATTTTTGCATCACCTTCCTACAGGAGGAATCCATCATAAAATAGGAAGATACTCCAATTTCTCCGCTGAGCAAGGGGCATGGCCTCAATCATAGGTATCTGATTGTGGAGTAGCACACAGCATACCCACCTGACCACATGCTATTGACATCATCAGGCTCTGCCGTCGTGGGAAATATCAAAAATAGGTGAAAGTAAACAAAATAACAATACTTTTTGTGTGTCAATGGATGGCGACTTCAAGGCTGAATTCTCTTAAGTACACGCCAGCATTTAAATACTGGTTGCATTACACTTAAGTGACACAATGGCAGTAGCACAATGCTTGTTGAGGGAAATATCTATTTGTACGTATTTCACACCTAACCTGTGTGGTTATAACTACCCATGATAGTGTCTCTGGTTAGTACGGCTCATATGGCCGGTGTTAAAGCTGTTAGTCGTACCCCTGGTGTGAAGTGGTCTAAGTGGGGGGTGCAGTCTGACCTGCAGCTGGTAAATGTGTGCGCCTAGGGCGGTGTCTGACCCTTTCTACTTCAGTGTATTTAGTCCATTAGATAGTGAGATCCCAGAGTAACAATCATGACCTGTTAGTCATAACATAGTCTGATAAAACTAATAATGCTTCTAATTTATGGCACCATAAACTTTAATGTACTATACTATACTAGATGCTATAAAATGAATTTGACCTCTCCTAGATGGTCCGGTAGATGCAGGTTCTCCAAAAGATGTCCAACATTGAGTTACACGTCAGTCTGTATAACCTAACTTCTCCTGACGTTTCTATTCAAAACAGTGCAGCTTTGAAACTTTAAGAGTCTTTTTTCTGATTATAACTTTCATCATTAACATTGTTTTAAACTAGAGAAACTTTGAGATGGCGGATGTGTATTTCACCGGCTGTGAAGTCACAAAAACAATTCACCCTGCCAACCCAATTCTGCATGTTGGAAAAGCAACAAGAAAATAATCTGTTGGATGTTGTCCACTTAATGAGCGCTGTGCACACCAGTGTCTGTTCATTTTCATTTGGCCGGAGACAGGTCCCGACAGAGGGTTTCATGTTTGGCACCTGGACTTCTGTTAAGCTCCGAGGCTCGTAATCCCCTGTCCAACATGTTATCGCACTAAGGAAACATATAGCTAGCAGCTTCTTCTTCTTAGCTTGAATTAAACTAAACATGTGTTTGTAGTTCAACAGGGACCAACAGAGTGGTGACTGATCACCTCACAGTTAGTTTCATATCAACGTTTCAACCAGATCGGCATTCAACAAGCTTTAGGGTTCAGTAGGGATAGATTTAATGAGTGTGGGATCCAGAGCTGTGAAGAAGCTCATCCTGTAAGTCTGTACAGCTGACACTAATGTTAGCTTAAGCAGCTTAAGAGCACACTGAGCTGCTAACAGTAGCATTAGAGGTCATCAGGCACTTTCTAAAACACTGTCAGACTCAACTTTCTAAGGAAGTACATTATTCTGTGATTCTATTGGTGTAGAAGTAAGATAAGTTTGTGATTTTGCTCGGTGCTAGGGTTGCACGCGGCTACAAAGACTTTCCAAATGTTGTCTGATTGCCAAATCTTTGTTTTGTATCTTTAGAAAAACGGCTATTGGCGGAGAAGCGTGACAATTGCTTAACTGTTGTTTCAGCACCATGGACAGCGGTTTTTGTTTTGTGCATGTGTGGAGCTGCCCGTGGTGCTGAAACTGAGCAGATCAAATCCAATATATTCGGGCAAATGTTTAGACTGATATTTATACAGAAATCTCATTATTATATTATAAATTAAATAGTACATTCAGCACCCAACTAAAGAACAGCCCTGCTTCAATTCCATATTTAAATTGGCTTTTAAATCAGAGTTTTGTCAGTCCCAAAACCTAAGAGAATACATTTGATATGAAGCCGATGAAAGAGAACAACATTTTTGCTTTGGAAATAAACGATTTGCCAATTATCTTTTATATTGATTGACTCATTATAATAATAGTAGTAGTTACAGTTTTTTCTGGACATAATGTCCCTCTGGCAGCGCAGCATGATCCTTGAAATGGAAGCGTTGACCTCCTCCTGAAACGGGTCAAACCAGAAGACCCTCTCCCTCAGGGGCTAAGTAAACTCTCGTATTATTGTTGTTCACTTGGCCTTCTCTCCGTGAATAATTAATGACCAAATTGTTGAATGTAATCGAAACACGGGGAAGCAAAGCAAAGGAAGAGAGCACTGCCCAATTGCCTGTTTTCATGCAGAATGAATAGTTTCCGTGCAACAGCTCGTAATTGACCGTGCATTAGACCTTACGAGTGCCTGGCTACACTAATCACTGATAGGAGGAGGCTGTAACTTGCTGGCTGTCATGTTTTCTAAGGTCTTGAGCTTTGTGCTGCTGTGGCTGCAGGATTGCTCTCTGCTTCTCCCAGAGTGTTCACTGGGTTCACGTTGATGTGCTTTGACCTCTTCTGTTGCTCCACGCTGGCTCCCTCTCCCTGTGGAGCGGCTTCAGACGGAGCTTCATCAGCCCAGCTAGTTGTCATCATGCGTGTGACTGCAGTCCAAACTTCATGTGATCATTTTTGTAATCTTGTTGGCCAGAGCCGAACCACGTGAGTGAGGCACAGATGATAGATTGAAATCCAGCAGCAGCACCATACTGTGATCCTTTCAACGAATGGCACAACACAATAAATAATCTGCTTGTTTGCCTCTCTATCCGGCTATATTTACTACGGTAAAAGCAAGACGGACTACGCTTTGCCATCCATTTTCCTGTTTTTGTTTACGAAAAT